TATTCATTATTTATCGGTGGCTTGTTTGATTTAATTTAGTTTTTTAAAATATAACGTCATTCTTGTATTGTGAATATAAAATAAAGATTACAGTTATACGAAATAAACTTATGCAAAGAATCAACCTTCTGTAGCTTTTATTGGATCGGATATAATTTTACATAAAATTTCAATTATTTTTATTTTGATTATATATTATATTAATATTAATATATAATAATATTATAATATGCAATAAAATGGTAAATTAATTAAATATTTTTTTTATTTATATTTTAAAACACTGATTGACTAGACATTAATTGATTTCAGTTTATAATATTTCTTCGTAAAATTTAATTGATCACAAAAATAAAAATAATCCAATTTTAAATTATTTACTTAGAGAAAATAAAGATAGATACATTTTTATGCAAATAAGCTTGAAAAAAGACTGGGTTTTCAAAAATGAAAAGGCTACAAGGTATAATTTAATACGTTGGAACTTTTTTTCTGTTTTATATGAAAAATATTAAAAAAAGTTGATGTTTTGTTTGCCGAGAGTAGAAATATAAAAGAGAAAGAATCTGTCGAACTTTTTTGTGGGTTTTTATCCTTGTAATTTTAGTTAATTTAATATTTAAATGATTACAAAAACCATTAAAATATTCAAATTGTTGTTATTATTAACCATCTTTGTTTCATAATAAAAACAGAATGCTAAGACAATGAAAGTTAATAATAAGCGTTTTTATCACCATTCAAGTTTTTCTTTCATCAACTTGATTCAGACAAATTCATGAAGTGTTGTTAATATATGTACAAACTTTTACGATAAAATAGATTGGCTTGTATGTTTTTATTTTTATAATGTACCAGCTTCGACAAATCGTTGCAAAAATAGAGTATCTTTATCATAATGTTCAACGTTAAATATATTAATTGATTCGATATTAATTAAAAATTTACTAAAAAACAACAAAAACTGATATTGTTTTATCTCTTAGTTTTTTCAAAAATAGTCAGCAAAGTCATCTTCAAATATATTTTTGGTTTTGAAGTACGGCAAAATATTTATTAGTGTTTTATTTAAACTTTAAATGAAAAAGTATCTGGGAAAGAAACTTACAATAAACTCCAACGTGGTTAACATTTTTTTGTCTAACCGTGCTGTATTTAATATTTATACATTAAAAAATGATTGTTATTGTACATTGTTATTATATCAAAAGTATTAATACAGTTATGTACAAAACCCGTGCAACTCTTGCAAAAATGGGGTTACTAAGTAAAAAACATAAGATTCTATAAATACTAAAAATGAGGGTCCAAAAAAACAAGAATTGGGGATTTTTTTAAAAAATGATAA